CTTTAGCTCATACCTCCGGCCCGACCCTGTTACCTGAAAAACATAATGGGGGTGAGTATTGATCCTCTTGTACCCCGAAATCACCCATACTAAAGTAAACAACAATAATAATACAATATCATGATCGTTGGTATATATCTGCACTGGAAATCTGTTACAGTAACTGAAACTTAATCTGGCCGATATTTGATCGGATACTTGTGCACAATCTGATGGATATTTCTCAAGAAAACTCAAGTGGCCTCCATCAGAACTTAGGATATACTCTAAGACAACTGAATGCCTTCTCATCCCAAGCGAATAAACTTAAACTGTATACATACCTCGGACATGATATCAATATTATACTCAATGTAATACCCAGGCTGGGTCCCCACCTTTCTTCCTTTGAAAAATCATAAGTGTTGATCTTGAGTAGCTAACTCCTAAAGCTACATAAAAATATATAAACAAATATACTAAGTACTATGCTCGTATACTCAATAAGATGCTCGGATTCTCAACTCTTTCGGATAACTCATCCAAATCTTATAAAATTTCAATAGTCATGCTATTGCTCAAACTTAACTTTTCTTGATCTTTTACTCAATCAAATACTTAACTCATCATATATCATATCTCCCAAATCTTTTATATTGGCTTATACTCATTTTTCATTTAATTAACTTGAAAGTGAAAATTTCTCAAAACATACTCAACTTTTAAATCATAATTCTCAATTATGATATTAATATGTGAGACTTAAAACAATCTTTATAAAATTGTATACTCAACATATTAAACTAAAACTTTTTCAAATTGCTCATCACTTATATGAAAATTTTTCATAGTAATCTCACTTTAAAAACTTGAACATATAATGAATATTCTTGCATATATAATCATCTTTACATATATGCCATCTAATTATCTTAACTCATTCATTTCTCATCTTTAAATCATGAAATTTAACAGTCATATTCTAAACTCATAATTAGACATGTCATAAAAATTTTATAATTTTATCATGCATATATCACGACTTATTCAAGTTTAAAGTTGTTGCTGGAAACAAGTACATAAAATTCAGCTTGCATGATAAACTTTAAAAATTCATATCTTGAGTTATACTAAACTAAATGACTTGATTCTTGATCCTATGTACTCCCTTTTACACAAGAAATAACCATAGGAAGCATATATTTCCAGATTTTTCATAGCTAGGTAAAAATCTCATCATAACTGAACACATATGACATATATATGAGCTGGAAATAACTTATCTTCTAGCATGCTTATACTCATATAAAACTTTAGTATCTAAGTCATATAAAAACATTATTAAATACTTAATATCATCTACTAAACATGTTAAAAAGATAGCATCTTACCTCCTTCTTTCTTGAAAATCTAAAGTTGCTCCTTGATTTCTTCGAAAATTAAAACTCTACTATTTTTATTTTTATTTTTCTCTCTCTTTCTATTTTTTTGATGAAACTATGATGATTTGAGAAAATACTTGATGATAAAATCTGATTGAAATGCCTCTATTTATAGCCATGAATGAGCTTTTGGTAGATAAAACTTGGTCCACAAAAGTTTAATAAAATTCTCACCAATTGTTGAAAAAAATGCTAACTTAAAGACTTAGCAAAACTTTGTTGTGATTTTCTCATCTCATTCTCACCAATTGATGACCAAAATTTCGTGCTTAATCTGATGGAATTGATTCCATATATTATTGAAAAAATGTCCCCATTCATCATATAAAAATCTTTAGAAAAAAAATAATAAAAATAATAAAAATCATCCTTTTTATTTCTTATGCATTTTCTTTCAAAATGGCTGACTTTTAAAACTCTTTTTATGAAAAATAATGATCATATATGGTCTTAGAACATTCTAAGAAAAACAAGAATAACAAAATTTACGGAACTCAATTCGGACTTAAAACGAACGTTTACCGTAAAACTGAAAATTCTAAAATTTAGATCTTTTACACCTGGTTTTTCCTTCAATTTGCTGAACATATTGCTTCTTCGAAGCTAATATAATGATCTTGGAATATTCTAACATTTACGGAACCACATTCAGACTTAAACCGAACGATTACCGTAAAAACCAAAAATTCTACAAATTTCGTTTTCTCTTAAGATAATTTAAATAGACTATAATATCTAAACAAATTTTCTCACTTCTTTGAACATTTAAAACTTAACTGTTCATGGATACTTAACCTTACTTCGAGACTTAACTTGTCTCAAATTGTGCTAAGGCTCGGTACTATGATCTTATCTTGATGACTTGAACACTTCGAAAAATTCTAAGTATTTAGTACTCAAACTCGGCTATTACTTAATTAAGACTCAACTCATGACCGAACATACTTGGGTTCAGTTCACTACTTATCTTAAACGATTAATTAAAATATACTCAATTTCGATTATTCGTCATCTTATATTAATTAATCCCGTCTTATAAATCCATTTATAAAAATAAACATACCGGAATTAATTAATTACTGAACTAGCTCGATTACTGAATAAAATTTAACCGAGAATACTTTCGACTTAAACTCAAATTTTTAACTGAATAACTTAATAACTGGCTCGGAACTAGGAACGAGCATTATTAATAAAAGTAATTAGTTCAAACTTAGAATAATTACTTTTATTAATTACTGAATGGGATATTACATTCACGCCGGGAGCTCGCCGGAAAAAGGAGGGTGCAGCGATGGTGAGAATGATGATGAAGGTGGCGGTGAAGGGAGAGGAAAAGTTTAATGAAGAAGCGATGGGAGAAAAAAAAAATATATGAAGAGAGTGATTTGGTTCTGCCTGAGATGATTTGGTTCTGCACAGATATGGAGTTATAGGCGTTTTCAGCTGGAGAGATAAGGGGAACCGTTACCTGCTGAGAAAGTGCCGCTGGAGTTGAACGTGGAGATAAAAGGGGGAAGAAGACCCGGTCGACAATTTCAAAATGAACAGATAATCAGAGAAATGAAGAACGGTATTAATTTCTGTTGGGCCCTTAATTAAAATGCTAAAATGACATAGTCAATTTAATTAACTTCAAATGGGCAAAAAATATTTATCAAATTGTGCTAGAGAAAAGGATCCCAAAATGGTTACGGAAAAATACTCAAAACCGGCCGATTCCTCTCGGGCTCGAGTCGAAAATTATTCGAGGCTCGGTTCGACGTGGCAAAAATTTAAATAAAACCGGTAATATATTTGTTAATTACACACATCATTTATTTATCTATAATAATAAACAATTAAGGCAGTTACGAGCACAAATAAAATAAATAAATAAATTCGGACAAATATAATAAATAATAAAATAATCCCATAATTATTCATAAATTAACGGGGCATTACAATAAGGATACGGCTAGACGACTGAAAAACGCAGCTAGTCGGGCTTACCACGCTCGCAAGCGGCTGGCGCGACGAGCCGCTGAGGCTAATACAATCAGCGCGGCGGGAGACGCGCGTGACGACGCGCGCAAGGGAGTTGAGCGTAGGACGAACCCGGACGAGACTAGAGCGTGTGGGCACGCAAACACATGCGAGGACGTGCGCGAGGAAGTCGCGCGGGTGGAGCTCGCCAGCGGGAGCAACGCGTGCGAGCATGTGGGCGGGTATGACCACGCACACGCGGAGGTGCGCAATGGGACCGCGCGATGAAACCGTGTGAAGGAAGAGCACGCGCTCGGGGCCGCCGACTTCGGTTACTTGGCGATCAAGATTAGTGATTCTCCTAGATGCTTTATAATTCCTAGATTGTTTAGTATGCATTATTTTAGTTATTTTAGGATTCTAGTGATTTGCTTTCCATAGAATTAGAAGTCTATTTAGAATAGGATTAGATGTAGTTGATATCTATAAATACCCAAGTCCGAGGCGAGTCACGAGTCGGGACACGCGATTATTCATCACCAGCGCCCGACGCGCACCTGTCAGCAGACTAGTGCCCGTTCGCGACCAGCACCGTGTGACTACGCCCGTCTGCGACCAGAGCAGACCAGGGTCCGTCCGAGCCCAGCCGGTACACCGACCCGACCGAGATGCCGAGCCCGGCCGAGCCTGAGTGAGCATAGTCGAGCCTAACCGAGTCAATTTGGGTCCGACCGAGTCAAACCGGTGAACCGGAGCTGATCCGACCGACCTGAGCCCGACGAGCCCGATCTAGCGATCCGTTCGTGATTCAGTGACTTGATCAAAATCGAGAAAGGCCAGATCCGGCAGCCCATTGGATTCTGGTGATCAGACAATCTCTATCAAAGGAAATCAGAAACGTGTCTGAGTCAGCAAAAATTTTAAATGGCAATGTCCTAACCCTAATTATAGATTCCGCTGTTTAGAATTTATTTTGCCAAATTCAAATGTGCATGTTGCGTCGTTCCTAATAAAACCCAACATCATGAACATGAATCAACAACTAATAACACATCTCAATATGCTCAAGTGTATACCTATATAACCGCTGAGGGTCGAATCCGCATCCCACAACGGGAGCACATGTCAATGGTCGAACCTGCATCCAAAGACATGGCCTGTCAAATAGGCTAAAGAAGACTGCCTCACACTAGGCACCATCGACGGTCGAACCCGCATCTGTCGACGGGGATACCATATCGATGGTCAAACCTGCATCCAACGATAGGGTCGTGGTTCACATACATACATTGATCATAAAATCTAGCAATTATAAAGAATTATGGCATAGTAATTTGAAATCATCCACCTGAAAAGTCGGGTAGGCAATAGCACACAATCTGGTGGACGTAGGTCGAGGTATCCGCTCCTTAAACACCTACATTTAATCAAGATAATCCTCTTAAATATATTATGTTGACACTTAAAAAAATTCACGATCATTCATACTTAGTCGAAAATTATCGACTAAATAGTTCGTGGAATTTTGTGGAATTTGGAACTCTTGGATTTGAAGGAAAGATTTGTAAAAATCATTTAAAAATACCAAAATTAGACTCACCATAGAAAATGAGATCAACGGGTTAGAAAACGGTCAAAGGGTTCGGGGAAAACGAGAAAATGGCGCTGCGGGCTTGGCACGGGCTGCCGCGTACCGGGTGCTGGTTGAGGTCGTCTGGCCGCTGGTGGGCTCGCCAGGGTGCATTCGGGGCTGCTGGACGCGTCNGCGGTTGCTAGACGCGAGGAGTCGCGGGACACGCACGCGGGGACACTGGCGACACGGGGACACGCACGCGGCAACGCTGGCAATACGGGGCAGCAAGGGGCGCGGCCCAGGGAGGCATGCATGGCGTTACCGGCAGTTGCACGTCTCGACCAAGATGTTTGGAGTTTGGCTCGGGGCAATTGAACAAAATTTTACACGATAAAGAACACTCAAAAAGGGACCAGAACACAAGAGATGGACCCCTAAATACAGCCCTAACCAATAAATCAAATTTTTGCAAAAGAAATGGCCTAAAGAGGATTTTCTAGTTCAAGGGGTTAGAGGATGAGTTAACCCTTGAATTTTAACAGAAACCTGACGATCATAGCATAGACTTAGCCTCAAAATTTCAGATAAAAAGGATGGACCAATCTTTTTATAAATTTTTTCAAAGTTTTAGGGCATAAAGAGCATGTTTCGGCTCAGATAGATACCGATCGAGTTAAGGGCTGAAATTTTAATACATCAATTCCCAACATAACACGAGATTACCCTCAAAATGTCAGATCAAAATGACAAGTGTACGATTTTTCATGAATTTTTTAAATTTCTGAGGCAATAAGGTTAACACAAGGCATAATATGACATATGCATAAAGATCCAACTTAGGGCTTCATGATCGGACTCAAAACACACTAAGGGTTCCAATTTCCATAGGAATTCACAAGAATAGGCAAGATCTATCATGATTTCAAATCAACCAAATAGATCTCAACATAATATCATAGATCTAGTGCAAAACTCAAGGGATCTATCTCAAACATGCAAGATCACACCGAAAATAGAGGGTTTCATCCTTAATACCTTGCACCCATGAATCTAGGGGCAACTCTGAATTGGATCGAGGTAGCAAGGGATGGTGCGTGCGTACGGTGACTCGGTGGCTTCGTTCAGCTAGTCTCGTCGAGGGGCGATCGAGCAGGGAATCGGGCGAGAGCCGGCGGTAGAAGGGCAGCGAGAGAGGTGAGGGGAGTTGGGCGATGGGATTTGGGGATTCTGCTGGTATTTTCTTGCGTGAAAAGAGTGGAAGAGAGATGTGAATTTTCAGATTTGTTTAAGGCAAAAGTAAGAGAAGGAGCTGTGTGGTTTATGGTGCAAACGAAAGGAAAATCTCCCTAACTCTCTAGGAGATCAATCAATTAAAAACTTACCAAAAAGGAAGCCATTTCTATGGCTTGGAAATGGGGTCACACGGCCCTTAGGGGCTGAAGGTGTGCGTCAAGTATTCCCAAAAATAAACATCATTTATTTGAAAATTTGAACTAAAAGGATTTTCCCAACACAAGGTAAAATGGAGCGGTTTTTCCACTTGTTTGGGCCGGGAATTTAGTTCGACCAAGGGCTGAGAATGGCCACACAAAAGGCTGAAATATTAGCTTCAAGGTTCGGTTCAATATGCTCGAGAAATCCAACGAGAATGGATTGAATAAAATCTACGCGATTAACCGAAGAGTTCCCGAACGACGAAACAATTAATAAAATAAAATCGAACTCGCCTATATATAAATTATAACTCAAGCATAATAATAAGGCATAGCAATTTTAATAAAAATCGATAAATAGAATAAATTCAAGAAATTATCAAACGAGGCACTACAATCTACCTTCTTTAAAAGAATTCCGTCATCGGAATTACAAAAGACAAAAGAACACCAAGTACAACCAAGTACAAGGGGGAAACCCGCAGAACATAACGTTCGGGTACTTCCTCCGAAACTCGTCCTCGCCCTCCTGAGTCACATCACTTTCGCCAAAATGGCTCCTCTAGACCTTGACGAGTACCTTAACGGGTACCTCGACTGATGGGCTCTCCGTCCCATCACGGCCACCGACACCTCCTCACAGGTAAGGTTCTGCCCATCACGCAGCCCGTGAAAGTTTACCACGTGCCCGGAATCATGCACATAACTCCTCCACTCGAGGTGTACATATCTCCTCCACTCAAGGTGTACAACGTGTCGTGCCTACATGAAAGCTCTGGTAGTACGGCCAACCGTTAGGCTAGGTCATTGACTCGGTCGAGAATTCAAAAGAACTAACAACACGCGACAGCAGCTTGTTACCTCCTCATAACCAAGGTGTACCACACCTCCATTCGTACACAAGGAAATCTCGTATGGTATTATCGGATCGCCGCTCAATAACCATCGTTATAAGCGTACATACCCATGGCAGTAAATCTATCAACACACAAGACTCCAACCGGTCTACCATGTATCAATAGCCTACTCCGACTGTACAACCATTTGGGTTTGATACGTAATGCCATGCTTCAGTTTCGTGCCCGAGTCATGCTGAAAACTTATTTACGATCTCATCACAAACCATGCGTCTCCGTAAGAAACGGTTGACACGGTACCCCATGCAGTCAGTCTATCTCTACTATACTCTTGCTCTATGCAGTTTTGATACACACGAAACAAACATAGCCTCTACTCGAATTTAGGGCTCTGCCCGATATCACTGCGAAACCTCTAACTTGCCAACTCGATAATTCTCGCATGTGGCATAGCGAACTCATCAACAATCCTCACTTAATCAAAATCATTGATCAAGGAATTCATGTAATAGCCCAGTTCTATTATTAATAAAAGTGACAGTTCGGTTCTGAGTTTCAACTATTTCCTTTTATTGATATTGCTCGTTTCGAGTTCCGAGCCCAGTTATTCCGCTATTTAATTTCAGTTATTAATTCCGGTCTATTTATGTTTAGAAATGGATTTTATTTCAGTCGGGATTAATTATTTCCAGTTGACGAATAATCAAAACCGAGTATGTTTCGATAAATCGTCCAAGTCAAGCCGTGTCCATAACCAAGTCTGTTCGGTCACGAGTCTCGCGCCTAGTTCGCGCCTAGCCAAGTCTCGAGCCCTAGTAGTCCCAAGTCTTGTTCAAGCCCTAGTCGTGCTTGTAGCCTTACTTGGAATTTTTCTAAGTATGAAATTCCTATCACCGAGCCTTAGAACCAAGTATTTCTCCTCGGCCAAGTGATCCATGCGCCTAGCCCCGTGGTGCCGAGTCGTTCACGCTGAGGGTCTGCGAGCCCATGCCATAGCCGGGCATAGAAGAGAGTTCCTTAGAAATTTCCTAAGTATTGGAGCTCATCATTTCAACCTTAAGTTTAAGCAAACTCGGCCTAAGAGAGTGTCGAGCCCCAAGCATGCCTCGCGCCCATGCCACGCGCACCCGAGGTCCATAGCCGTGCCGATAAGGCTCAAGTCATAGCCACGTTTTATGGTAATATTTCTATGTGTTAAATCCATAAAATCCAGCCAAAGAGCAAGAGTTTCACTCAGCCCAAGTTTTCATCGCGCGCAGCCCAGCAGTGTCGCGCCAGTCCAGGGCCGCGTGCAGCCCAGCGCGCCCAGTGCGCCCAGGCCCAGCGCCAGCCCACCTTCCGAGCCCAATTCCAAGAGTTTCGGCCCCATTTCCTTCAATACCCAAGTACTGCATGTATTAAGGGGGTTCTAGGGATTAATTAAGCCTAAGATGTCCCTAAGGAAGATTAAGGGAAGTCAAAGTGTCATTAGCATTATTATAATGTGAGTGGAGCATGGGCAAGGTATTATTTTAATGTGAAATGTAAGGGCTTGTCTCCTGTCTCCTCTGGTGGTACCAGACCTGACCATACCACTTCCCCACCATATTATTCTCTGCAAGATGCTCCTAGAACCGTGCTAAGTCAGGCCAAGAACAAGCCAAGACTTCCCCAACACCTAGGCGCGTGGTAAATGCAAAATGTCCCCCATTAGCCTCATTGTTTGCTCCGCCCAATTCCTCCCTTTATAAGACTCATTACCAGCTGAGTATAGAGCATTTGGTACTTATAATTTTCAAGCAAACACTTGAGAAAATCATAGGAACCGAGAGGAACAAGTCCAGCCCTACCGAGCGTGCGCTAGACCCGGGGAGAGGAAGGACTGAGCTCCAACCTTTTCCCTTCAAGTTCACTCGAGGCTTACCAGTTCCGAAGGATTCTTGGATTTTTAGGAGCCCCCAGAACTCGTCATTCTAAGCCTTTAGCCATTGGAGCAAGCCAAAGCCCGAGAAGGCACTAAGAGACACGAGCAAAGGTCACCAACACTATTTTCGTACTTCGGTGAAGGTAAGCTCGTGCCAAACATTTTTCCTAGCTCATACATGATATTTTAAGAATTATCATGAAGAAAAATGATGCCATGCACGTACTTAAATTGGAGTTTCGAATTTTTGAAGTTATGGCCCTTAAATTCAGATTTTTATGTACATGCATGAGTAGGTCAATTTTTGTAGCTCATTATTCCTTAAAAATCATGAATATGACATTGGTAAAAGATAGGCATGCTTTGAGTTCATTTGTTCGGCCAAGTGGTTAGTGAAATCGAGCTTATTTTCACCCCCAGGCCTTAGTAGTATGCATGTGAGTTATGACCAAGGTGTTAGCCCTTAAAGTCATGATTTTTTATGTTAAGTACTCGGCCTTAAGTGATTTTATAAGTTGAGCAAGTCTACCGGACCAAGTCAAAATCCAACTGAGGTCTCATAGTGATTCTTGGCATTTTTATGTGTCTTTTATCATATTATGTTGGTTAGAGTTCATTGGCACTAGAGAAGTGTTGGAGTATACTGTAAAGCAAACTTTTATGTGAGCTTTTAGAATGTATTTATTCGATTTCCCATTTGACTGAAATAAATGTTTTCACATTGTTGCATTCTTTATGACTGAGGAAGGACACCATACCGACCACCACACCACACCACCCCAGCCGAGTTCCAGAGAGTTGCCCTGATCCCAATGTGTAATATCCCATTCAGTAATTAATAAAAGTAATTATTTTAGTTCTACGTTTGAACTAATTACTTTTATTAATAAAGCTCGTTCCTAGTTTCGAGCCCAGTTATTAAGTTATTCAGTTAAAAGTTCAACTTTAAGTTGAAAGTATTCTCGGTTAAATTTTATTTAGTAATCGAGCCAGTTCAGTAATTAATTAATTCCGGTCTGTTTATTTTTATAAATGGATTTATAAGATGGGATTAATTATAATAAGATGACAAATAATAAAAATCGAGTATATTTTGATTACTCGTTCAAGATAAGTTGTGAACCGAACCAAGCATGTTCGGTTACGAGTTAAGATTATTACCAAGCAAATGATTCTCGAGCCTAGCTTAGTTTTGAGTATTGATCAAGTTATAAGGATTAATTAGACATTAATGTTTATCGAAGTGAAATAAGTTATTTAAGATGAAGTTCAAGTTCAAGTAACATTCCATTTTATTTAGCTAAATGGATGTAAATTTGGCCATTTCTAGTTTGAATGAGAAAGAAAAAGAATAATGAGTCGAGACAAGTTAGGTCTCGAGTTCGGTTAAGTATCCATGAACATTTAAGTTATAAATGTTCAAAGAAGTGAGAAAATTTATTTAGACATTTTAGTCTATTTAAATTATTAGAGAGAAATATGAAATTTTTAGAATTTTCGTTTTTTTCGGTTTTCGATTGTAGTCGGAATCTATGTCCGATTTAAGTTCCGAGAAATAAATTAAATTATTTTCTCTCTATATTTTTAGTAGCCTACAAGATAAGAAAAAAATTTTCAGCATAAAAAGGAAAAATGCCAAAAGAAAAGAAGGAAATTCGAAAATTGTAAGAATTTTCGATTTTATGGTAACTGTTCGTTTTAAGTCAGTATTTGGTTCCGTAAATTGGAGAATTATCACTAAATCTCGAATTTAATCATTGAGATCAGATTAGGATCAGAAGAGGGGCCTTTCTAAGCATTGACTATGGGTTGGAGAAGTTTACAAGATAAGAATACTATTTATAATCTATATTTATTTTTACAAGTTTGTATTGTTTATTTTGTTAATTTCTTCACTCAGTTATGATGTCTTGCAAATTTTGCCTATAAATAGAAGCCTAAAACTCAGAGTTTTTACACCAAAGAAAAGTTTCAAAAGTTATATAAGTTTATAAGAGAGAATAAGTAGTAGAAATTTTGGTGGAGTGAAGAATCATGTTTTTATTCTAGCAAGAAGGAGGTAATTTATTTATCTTAAAGTTACATGCTTATGTTCATGTTTTGATAATGAGTTTACATGTTTAGTAGATGATATTAAGTGTTTAATAATATTTTTAATATGACTTAGATATTAAAGTTTTATATGAATATAAGTATGCTAGAAAATAAGTTATTTTCAGCTTATATATATGTCATATGTGTTCAGTTATGATGAGATTTTTACCTAGCTATCAAAAATCTGGAAATCTATGCTTCCTATGGTTCTTTCTTGTGTAAAAGAGTGTACATAGGATCAAGAATCAAGTCATTTAGTTTAGTATAACTCAAGATATGAATTTTTAAAGTTTATCATGCAAACTGAATTTTATGTACTTGTTTCCAGCAGCAACTTTAAACTTGAATAAGTCGAGATATATGCATGATAAAATTTTGAAATTTTTATGACATGTCTAAATATAAGTTGAGATTATGACTGTTAAGTTTCATAATTTAAAGATGAGAAATGAATAAGTTATGAATATAAGAAAGCATATATGTAAAGATAAGTATATATGCAAAAATATTCATGAAATGTTTAAGTTGTTAAAATGAGATGATCATGAATAATTCTCATATAAGTGATGAGTAATTTGATGATGTTTTGGTATAATATGTTGAGTATACAATTTTATAAAAATTGTATTAAGTATGACATATTAACATCATGATGCTTGCTCGCCCCTTTTCTCTCTTGCTCGCCATCTGCAAATCGCCGGTTTGTGCCTCTTTCAGAGGTCGTTCGGGATAGCCGGAGGATGGCTCTCCTGCGGAGCATCCTTAATTAGGTCAGCGGCGCTCCCGTTCTGCGATTTCAGCCAAAGGGGTGGGCTAGGGTTTCGGCAGATCTACTTTTCTGTGCGAGGCCGCTGGTGTCCTGCGGTTCGGGTTTCGGGGGGTGCTTTGTCAACCTTTGGATGCGGCTTGGTTGCTCGTTCCAACTCAGGTATGGTCGATTTCTTCTATCATGGCCTTGAAGTCTGCCTCGTTTCGATTATCCTGTTTCGCTGGAGCTCTCGTTTCGGTACTGTGGGGTGGTTGTGGCGGGATTGATTTTGTGCGTTGGATTGGGAGATTATCGATTGTTGGGCTGTGTTGTTGTGACTGGGTCGGGATGCCATTCGAGCCCTTCCTCCTTTTTTCTCTTTCTGATCAAGAGGGAGGCCGACCGTTTCGTATATTGGCTAGTGGTGATAGGCAATTTCGAGATGGTATCGGATTTGGCTAGTGGTGTTAGCCGATGGGGGTCGATTATGGTATCTTGCGGTAGGAGAGCGGGTCGGTTTTTCTTGGCTTGTTTTGCGACTTGGGTATTCGTCTTGCTAGGCTTTAGGCAGTGGCGGGCGGAGTGCCTGTGCTGCGGATCTTTTCATGAAATCGGCCTTGTCTGTGGTTCAATCTCGGACGTATCTGCTGAAGGAGGGCTGTGTGTTTTGTATGTTAGTTAGTGTGTTGTTTTGTTCGTTTCTTTGTGTCTCTTATCTGTTGTTGTCTAGGATTGGTGTTTTTTGGTTTGGGTCGTTGGCCCCTGTGAGCCCGAGTGTCAAATTTATTATCCTGTTGGGATCCGACACTCGGGTATTACCCTGTTGGGGTCCTTGTAGTTTGCTTTAGTTGTTTGTGTTGTTATTAGTTTAGTTTTGAGTGTTTTTTTATTCTAGCGTTGCTAGCCGGGATTCTAGGCGGTCTTCTGACCTGTCCTCCCACTTTTTTCAGCTGTTGGCTGCTGTGTATTCAGTCATTGGCTGCTGTGTATTTGCACATTTGTGCATTTTGATTTATAATACTATCTACCGTTTTGAGAAAAAAAAAACATCATCATTAAATATTATGAGTAAAAGATGATTATGGCTTGAGATTATTTTCACTTTCAATTTAATTGTGAAAATTTAGTATAAGCCAATATCTAAAAATTGGGAGATATGATGTATGATGAATTAAGTATTTGATCAAGTTAAATTAAGATAAGTTATAAATCATGTTGATGATGTTGGTAAAAGAAAGCATGTTTTAAGTTTAAATACTCAATAAAGTATAATATGAAATATAGTTATTTTCACATTTGAGTTATGACATGTTAAGTATAATACCATATTGATGTTTATGAAGACATGATTTATAAGGTTAAGTAATTGACCTTAAGTAAAAGTAAAAAGAGAAGTTAAGTATAAACTT